TGTGTGTGTGTGTGTGTGTGTGTGTGTGTGTGTGTGTGTGTGTGTGTTGATGCTTCATTTCAGATGCAACAAGTTTCTACCGACTGAATTAGGTTTCGATTCCAATGTGTCAGTGTGATGGTAGTAAAACTTTGCAATCTATTCTCGAAAGAATTGAATTTCATTATAAAACCGACCTGAGCTAAAGAGTTCATTGAAAATAATGGCTTCGGTTCGTGTTACAAACGAAAGCCCAACAGCAAAAGTAACAGCAACAGCAGCAGCAGCAGCAGAATAGTAGTATGCATGGCATGTGTGAATGTAGTGTGCGCTCGCGCTCTTTTTGACACATTATCCAGAATAATCAGAATTATTAAATGAACGTTGATTAATGAACCCTACATGTACAACATCCAAGTTGTGTGGTAATGAAAACTCGTGTTGAATGCATAATGTATTATTTTACATGAAATAACATCAAAAGCGTGCTTCAGCAATGTATTTTACATTTTAAAATGTGAAATACACCCAAACACACATATGCACACACACACATATATCCTACACATGATCATAGTTTGATGTCAACGAGTTGTTGTTTTTTTTTTCTTGTTTGTTGCATAAAGCATGTGTATCGCCCGCATGTACGTTAAGTGCTCGGATAAATTCAATAATTTCCACAATGGCACAAAGACTGTGCTCATTTCCACCGCACTAATTACCCCCTTAACATTTAATTTAACCATTAGTGTTCCTTTAGTTCTCATTAAATTTATTAAGTATGCTTTATTCAAACTTTCTCACCTCCGACGCATTCATTCACTGAATTTTATCTTGACGCCGGCATTTGCACTTTAAATTGAGGTATTTTCGTTGTTGTATAACTTTAAACTATCAATGAATTTTGTTTGATTCGGTTGTTCTTTCTTTTTTTCGTTACAGGCAAACCCCCGAGTGTATGTTGTTTCTCTCCATCAATGTTTGGGCCAAACGGTTTGGCTCACTTAATTCTTCTTTGGTTCGAAGAATGGATACCATAAAATGCACACGTGATCAATCAAAACCATCTCTCTCTCTCTCACTCACTTTCATTGTCAACCCGATCTATTGACATACCTGCAACAACAGCAACAAATTGACTCATCCGCTTTTATTTGCGATGGTGCAGTTTTGCGTGAAAGAGATGCAGCCTATTTCACCAAATGTTTTCATGAAAAGTTTTCATGAGATTTTCTTCTCAAGTTTTTTTTGGTGAAACAAATGTATCTAAATGTAGCAATGAGAAAATCTCAATAGAAACGTGAAAATATTCTCATTTTTTTTACATTATTTTGAGCACAAATTTTAAATTTTCATTTATTTTTGAGCCAACCATGATGTGATCTCACATTTTTGTGAAAAAATCTCGAAATTTCAAGTTGGCGCTCAAAATAACCCATTTTTTACCAAGGTGCAAAAGTGGGTTCAAAATAAGTAACCAATAGTCTACCTAGCATAATTTTTACCTGGAAACTCCGAAAATACTGTCATATGGAAAATTTTTGTTTGCAGTTTTTCCGGAAAACCATGTTTTTGTAGGCTCACAAACTGATCAATCAAAAACTGTTATGCTTTTTCAAAAAATATTAACTAAAAGTCTATTTAGAGTTATTTTGACATAAAAAAATGAAAAAAAAAAATGTCAGATGGAAAATTCGTCTTGTAGTTTTCCAGGAAAGCCCAGGAAAATTTTTGTTCGATTTTTCGAACATTGGTCATTTACCCGGGATCCTTTATTATCTCCAAACCTACCCTGGGCTTCCCTAAGTACCTCCTGAACATAGGCTCAGAAGACTTACATATTTTGAAAAATAATGTTCAACACTTGCTTTTTGAGTATATGTCTGTTATTCTTGCCTATCTCTAGATCGAGATATGAATAGGGATGGCGAAAAATCGAACGCTGGTAGAAAATGGGATAATGTCAAAAAAATGAGAATATTTTCACGTTTTTATTAAGATTTTCTCATTGCTACATTTAGATATATTTGTTTGACCAAAAAAA